GCTCCTCCAATGCCCTAGACTCCCGACAGAAGCTCTGTCCAATGCACTGAATGCAGTGTCTTTTACATCTTCTAGAGGAGAGAGACGAAATCAAAATCTGGGCTTTTTCTGCCACACTGTGGCCATGTCTGAACACTACATGTGGCCTTCATTCCCTTACATGTGGTATTGAGAGTTGTTTTCATTGAAGATTAGAAGTTACCTTCTTTACCTGTTATCCCCATTCAAGCCCTTAAGCCTCAGCTGATGCTCGCCTCCTCCAGAAGGACTCCCTTGAATTCACCTCCATGCCAGGTTGGCTGAGGCCTCCCCGTTCTGACTCTCCCAGCTCCTCCTACCATTCGCTAGCATTTCCCTCCACACGCTGTATTGTAGCAGTCACTTCTGTCTCCCTAATTAGATTGCGAACTCTTTGAAGACAAACCGACTCATCTGTGTTATTTCCAGGGCTCACAGACGAACAGAAAATTCTTCAATAAGTATATATGAAATTAAAGAAAAAAGAGAAGAAGAGAGAGGAGGAAGGCTGAAAACTCAGGGTAATAACAACCACCCACATTTATTGAGCGCTTGTGGTATACAGTCCCTGTGCTTCATATAATGGATTCCAGGGTATCAGGGCCAATATCCACCTCTGCTGCCCCAGCTTCATCCAGCAATTGAAGGGTCCATGTCTGTCCTGTCAGGGGCTTCCTGGACTCTAGTCCTTCATATAGTCCATGACCAACATCTGTTCCGATGTTCAGTGACCACTTAACATGTTTTTAAGTATTTTAACATTCACCCTTGCATGTGATCATCCACAACAACTTGGAAATAAGTTCTAATATTGAGAGGAGAAGCCGGCTGGGCTTCTGGGTGGGGTGGGGACTTGGAGAACTTTTCTGTCTAGCTAAAGGATTGTAAATGCACCAATCAGCACTCTGTAAAAAAGCACTAATCAGCACTCTGTGTCTAGCTAAAGGATTGTAAATGCACCAATCAGCACTCAGTAAAAATGGACCAGTCAGCACTCTGTAAAATGGACCAATCAGCTCTCTGTAAAATGGACCAATCAGCAGAATGTGGGTGGGGCCAAATAAGGGAATAAAAGCAGGGCACCGGGGCCAGCAGCTGCAACGCTGTTGGGTGGGCCTCCAAACTGGCAGATTTGTTCTTTCACTCTTTGCAATACATTTTGCGGCTGCTCACTCTGGGTCTACGCTACCTTTATGAGCTGTAACACTCACTGTGAAGGTCTGCAGCTTCACTCCTGAAGCCAGCGAGACCACAAGCCACAGGGAGGAAAGAACAACTCAGGATGCGCCACCTTTAAGAACTGTAACACTTACTGCTAAGGTCTGCACCTTCACTCCTGAAGTCAGCAAGATTACCAACCCACCAGAAGGAAGAAACTCTGGACACATTTGAACATTTGAAGGAACAAACTCCAGACACACCATCTTTAAGAACTGTAACACATGAGGGTCCGCAGCTTCATTCTTGAAGTCAGCAAGACCAAGAACCCACCAGAAGGAACCAATTCTGGACACAGTATTGTCCTAGGAGCAAGGTGAGGAAAGTGTGGCTTAGATGGGTTAAGTTACCTGCCCACGGTGGCACAGAATTCATAATTCTGGACACAGAATCCAACTGCAGGCTTGACACCAGCGCTTACATACCTAATGGTTTCTGAGGACTCTCCCACTAGCATGTAGGAGACCCTTGAAGACATATTGTGGAGGGGTTTGGGGAGTGTGTACACTGGCAATGGGAAGGCTCACAGATGTTTATGATGTTAGGATAAGGAGCATTTAACGGAGCAGAAAGGGGCCTGCTTACGCAGTCTTCATTCAATCAGCGTTTGCTCCTACACCAGGCACAGTCAACCAGAGAGGGCCCATGGGCTCAAGGAGCTGTCTGTCTAATAGGGAGACTGACAGATGCATAAAATAGACATCTCCAGGGAGGAGGGCTTTTAGGGCTTGGTACTACAGGGCAGCTTCACCGGCATCCCAGAGAGCAGGACTAACAAGGGACCCAGAGCCAGCTAACTTCATCCCAGAAGTCCCCAATGTCAGGAGCTCCAGCCACAGTGGGTTCCAGGAGCTCCTCACCAAGTTGAGGCCTGGACCTGAGCTGGGGAGGTCAGCTGTTCCCCACACTGCCCTGGTGCCTACCATGCAGTATCCACATGGGGTAACTTCCATGCGGCACCATGTGAGGTGCCCACCATGAAGTACGCACATGAGGTGCTCCGCTGGCTCACCCTGCCCACTGGAGAGCAGGGCAGTGCCCACACCCGGTGGCTCTCGCCTTGCAGCTGGCCTTGTGATGGATACCATTCTCAAACCATTTGCTGGTTGGAAGCCGGCGTGCCTGCATTCACACAGCATTCTCAAGTCAAGGTCATTCTCAACTTCTCACTCTCCTGGACACTGTCATTCTCCCAGCATTTGTGAGGGGAAGAGATCTCTGCTTCCTTTGAGTCCCCCTCCCTCCCTCCTCTCTAACCCCCACTTCTGGGAAAATGACTTCCCCATGTTACTGTATGTGCCCACAGTTACTAGACAGATGCTCCAATTGAAGTCAGGTTGATCAGAAGCCACTGCTTGAGCCTGCAATGATGGGGCAGGGGTGGTGACGGGGCCTGGTAGAGCCAGAGTCTCACAGGACTCACTCCACAGCATCCACCACTATAACCAGCCCTTCCCCTGTCCCCACTCCCAGATCTTCTCTGCTGACCCCTAGAGGGTCCAGCCATCACAGCAGAAGCTCTGGCCCCCCATCCCCATCGTGCCTGATTCCATGCCGGGCAATGCACACTGTCAAGGCTTTCTGTCTTGTTGGAGGCAAAACTTAGAGAATGTTGCAGTACTTCATCTTCCAGTCTCAAAAAAAAAAAAAAAAAAAAAAAAATCTATCATCTGAATCCCCCCAGTCTTCCCAAACTGAACTCTTCATTCACACCACACAATGAAGGTCAGTTTCAAGGTGGTAAAGTGAAGTGAGCATCAATCGGACATGCTACATTAAAAATAATTTTTTTTGCCTTCCTAAAAGTCACTTAATCTTTCCCTCTCTAGTATTGACTACAAAAAGACTTAGTAGCTCATGTGCCATCTGACTTTTTCCAGGGCAATGATTAACTCAGGAGATTTTTTTTTCTCCTTTTTTCCCTATATCAGTCCAACCTAATTGGTTTGCCACTAATTACTCGTTTCCTATACAGATATGTGTTCATCATGTCCTCACTTGTCTCAAGCTAATAAGCTTTCAAGAGATACATCATCCTTTCAACCCAGTCATACAGTTGAGAACTTCACACAAGAAATCACCTTCCTTTGTCTGTGAAAGGAATAATTGCCTCCACTCTCATACAAGGACCCCCCACCTTCCTCTGTCCTGTGGTGAGCCTCGGGAACTCCCATGGGGGAAGGGGCACCCAGCACAGCCCTCACAGCGTGGTTGGGTCACGATTCCAGCTTATTTATTTGCCTGACTACTGCTCAGGAGTTGAAGGAAAAAAATGGGATAAAAGCATATTCTTCAACCTCATTGAGCTGCGGGATGAAATATCTATTTTGGAAATAATGATTCCAGGTAGGAGGGCAGTGAGGAATGGGGCTCATGAAAAGCGAGTGTTTTATTATACAATTTCTAAAATATGAGCACTTCATGCTCTTTCATTATTGTACATTATTACAGTTCTATAAAAATCATTTCTGGGAAATCAATCTCAACATTTCAAAGCCTTCCAAAAAGTTGGGAGGCAGAGTTTATAAGAAGCCCTGTAAATAGAGAAATTATACTTTCAGCTTTACGTAATAAGATTTACTATGGCACTGTCCACACTCAGACCTAGTCAACACTGCATGAGGAATGCAGTGACTGGGGATTTGTAGAGTTCCTCCCATGCCACAATTTCAAAAGACATCAACATTTTTCACTGCCCTGGAAAAACGTCATACAGCGTGTGAGCTACTAAGTCTTTTTGTAGTCAATACTAGAGAGGGAAAGAGTAAGTGACTTTTAGGAAAGCAAAAAAAAAATTTTTTTAATGTAGCAATGTCCAATTTTGAATATTTTCCAAGTGAGAAAACAGAGGCCTGGATAGTGTGAGTGAAATTACTTTTACTGAAAGCCAGTGAGGCAGCGATAAATCTGTTTCTGTTTACAGCTCTACCATTTCTCCACTTGGTGCACAGTGGGTTTGGGGAGCATCTCCACTCCACCCTGATCCGTGTCTAGTATTTCCACTCCCTTTGGAATCCGGGTTTTCATTCCAGGGAGTGCATTAACTTGCTGGATAATTTGCTGATCACACTGTTACAGAAACCATTTAGAGGCTTTAGACTCCTACTCTTTCACAGGGATCAAGACCTGGAGACAAAGCAGTCAAGGGAAGCCCCATGGCCTAACCACAGCCCTAGGAATATCCCCAATGCCTAAGGAAACCCATTCAATCCATCTGAGCTTCAAAATGTCACCAAATTGAGGAAGAGCCAGTGGAGTAAGTTCATAAGTCCATGTTGAATGGTGATGATGCCTTCATAGCTACAAGCATTTCATGTACGTCTCCTCACTTTATCTTAAAACATTCATAAAAAGGATAGTCCACAGCACGTCTCAAACTCTAATGTGAACAGGCATCCCCTGTAGATTTGTTAAAATACAGATTCTGACTCAATTGGTCTGAAGGAATGGTGGGGGGACTGAAGCTCCACATTTCTAAAAAGCACCCGGGTGATGTCGATTCTGCTGCTCTGAGGACCATACTTGGAATTGCAAAGGCTTAGAGCACAATTTGGAAACCATAGTTCTAAGGACTGAAAAGGCAGTAGCAATGAGTAGCTCACCAGCCTGGGCTCAAGTGGGATATTAACCAGATGATGACATTTCCTACATTACTGTTTTATTAACACCTGATAGGATTGAAGAGCTATACCGCACAGGGGAAAGATCTCTGGAGAACATTTTCTGATGGAGACCAGGAAAGGAGTGAAACAAGATTTACTCACGAGAGAAGCGGGCCAGTGATCTGGCATTCTTGTCTCCAGCTTCATTTGCAACTGGGAAAAAAAAAACATAGGATACAATTTAAAATAAAGCACATGTGTCCACCAAATATGCCCCAATACAGCCAATCCCCTGGATGCTTTGACATCAGGCTGTATTTAAGAGTTTTTGTAAGTGAATAAAAGCAACTTCACTCCCTCTGTTTCTGTATTTCCAAGGCTGCCCTCAACACCTAAATGACGTCAAATGTCTCAATCATTTTGATTAGAATATTTGGATGAAGATAGAGAGGATCTCAACAACATCCAGTTTAGTAGGCCTAAAGAAGTTAATTGGCTTCCATCCACTTAGTAAGAGGCATGCGCACCAGATTCCAAGCTAGTGGACGTCCTTTGGCTCCAAGAGTCCTCTAACAGGGCTGTCTGTCAACACACTGATGCACCCCAAGCATCAAAATGAGTCTGGTTTCCTAGGATCCATAGGCGCAAAGCCGAGGCAGGAATTTGGGAAGATAAAAAGCTGGTTTATGTTCAGAAAGATACTAAATTTAGACGCTAACAAACAGGGACGTTCATCAATAAAATTGTTCAGAAAACTGCCCTAGAAACCTTACCCCTAAAGCTTCTCAGCAGGGCAGGCTACCTCCAGCGAAAAGCCTCCATATAATTTATCATTGGATATAGTCATATTTAATGCCCCTTATAACTTATGAACCCATTTTATTGGGTAAAAGAGATGGTTATTAAGAGGAAACACAAGTTTCACTCACTTTAAATACCATGTTTCATGCCCATAAACATTATACCTTGGTGGTTATATGTATACATAGCAGATAGACATGGGTATTTGTGATCTACTTGAATAAACACCCAAAGCAATCAATAAGAAACACGTGTTCATTCTAGCTGAGAAAAAGCACTCAATGCATCAGCAGAATAAAGGAGATTGCTAATGTCATCATGAATGTATGAGAAGTTGCAGCAGCAGGACAAAACCAATACAGTAACTACTTTCTAAACTTATTACATGATTTTACAAAGAATGAAAAATTGAAAAATTTATTCCACCGTCTCACAAAGGTAAGCATTTTAAAATTTACTACATTTGGGCAATTTTAAAAAAATTAATAGATTCCATCTCAGTATCTTTTGTTTTTCTGGCATTAGCTTTGCCTCACCATCTCCACTCTATTACTAATAAGGGCAATTACTAATTTGGGCAATTTATTACTAATTTGGGCAATTTTTAAAAATTAATAGATTCCGTCTTAGTATCTTTTCTTTTTCTGGCATTAGCTTTGCCTGGTCATCTGCACTATTACTAATAAAATGTTATATAAAAATGACCAGCAGGGGGAGACAATAATTCATCCAGCTCCCATCCTCTGTCAAACGGCAGCATTTCAAAAAAAGATGGGCCTGGCGCGGGTGGCTCACGCCTGTAGTTCCTGCACTTTGGGAGGCCAAGGCTGTCGGATCACGAGGTCAGGAAACCAGCCTGCCCAACATGGTGAAACCCCATCTCTACTAAAAATACGAAAAATTAGCCGGGCGTGGTGGTGGGCGCCTGTAATCCCAGCTACTCGGGAAGCTGAGGCAGGAGAATCACTTGAACCCAGGGGGTGGAGGTTGCAGTGAGCCGAGATTGTGCCACTGCACTACAGCCTGGGTGACAAAAGTGAAACTCCATCTCAAAAAAAAAAAAAAAGAAAGAAATGAAATAATTACTACACTCTGTACCAAATACATTTTAAAAGATTTCCAATTCAAAAAAAGATCCAGGACTTCTAAGAGCAATAGCTATTCTTGCTGTCTTCTCAAATGTTTTGTAGAACCACTACATGAATATAAATAATTCACATTCATATTCCTGCCTCCATTCAGAGCTACATCCAAAATATTTCAGAACAATGGTCAGCTATCTCGGTAGAAGTCTTTAACCACAACTGCATATCCTCACATCAGGAAGACTTGGATGTTATCATAGCTAAGTATTAAAAGAAATCTTATGAGCACTTGGAAAACTCTCAAGAGTTTTCTATAACCAAAGTTGTCTTATAATAAAAAAAGTAAATAAAAGGAAGAAAAGAGAGTGGGGAGGGAGGGATGGAGAAAGAAGGAATGAGCCCCAGTTAGGTATAGACATGAATTTCCATGACCTTGAGTTCAACTTGTTTCTTCCATTTAGACACTGTAAATGTCTGAAGAAAGAAATAGAGCTGGGTGGGGCATAGTGGCTCACGCCTGTAATGCCGACACTTTTGGGAGGCTGAGGCAGGAAGAACACTTGAGCTCACGAGTTTGAGACTAGCCTGGGCAACATAGTGAGACACTGTCTCCACAAAAAAAAATTTTAAAAACTTAGCTGGGTGTGGTGGTGCATGCCTGTAATGCCAGCTACTCAGGAGGCTGCAGTGGAGGGGTCACTTGAGCCCAGGAGGTTGAGGCTGCAGTGAGCTGTGATCAAACCACTGCACTCCAGCCTGGGCAACAGAACGAGACCCTATATCAAAAAAAAAAAAAAAAAAAAAAAAAAAAAAAGAAAAGAAAAGAAAAGAAAGATCCAGGATTTTACCAAAATCTTTGCTGCAGAAACTTTAAAATGACATTTTGAAATGGGATTACAAAGACCATTGCAATTGCTGAGAACACAAGCAACCACCTAAATACTCAGTTTGGAGTCTGCACATTCTCCAAGAGTATGTACATTCCTCCAAGAATAAAAGAACAGAGACACCAATGTCGCTATTTCACGTGCAGTAATAGCCACATCTTCACTCAGCCAGGCCTTCCCTGCCCACCACCCTATCCAAGGATGGGAATTGCTGACCCAGCTCCAAGTCACGCCAGGAAAGGCAAGAATCAGGATCCAGGCTAGTGGGACACCAGGAGAGTTTCCTCTATCCAAAAGGAATTTGAACCTCACCACCAGCGTGATTTCCCTACAAACATACCCAAGGCCACACTCCACTACTGGAGGGTCTCCCAGCCCCTACAGAACACAATCCAGCTCACCTGCCCCAACTTATTCTCCCACCTCATTTCCCAGAGCATCCTCCAGCACGTAGTCACATGCGATAGATGGACAATGCATTTCACACACTCTTTCTGCCTGGCTTTGGCTCCTGATGCCCCCTAGTCTTGGTGCACTCCTCCTTCTTCTTCACCTGGCCAACTCCTTACTCATCCTTTAAGATCTAGGTGGAGCGATTCACCTCTGAAAAGTCTCGTCGCTTCACACCCCACCTTCTCCATCCCCCAGATCTCTGCCCATATGTGTAACTCCCCTTCCCACACCTGCCTGTTGTTCTCAAACTTCAGCAGCATCAGAACCACTGGGTGGGTTTCTTAGAATACAGTTTCTAATTTGATGCATCTGGTGTGAGGCCCAAGAATTTACATGTCTGACAAGCTCCCAGGTGATATGGTGGATGCTGGTCTGGGGACCATAAAAGCTACCCCACCAAGGCAAGGATCATCACTTTCTATCATTGTATTTCCATTCTTTTATACAGTGACTATGCATTCAGTCAATATTTTTGGAATTCAGGTAGACTTAATGCCACAAATGGCTTAGTAGACCAGACATCTCAGACTGCCTTCCAGATGACTATAGAAAGTCCCAGGTGTGTTTTGTTTGGTCTCACAGTGCTTTTAATTTTTGAACAATTGTCAGCCCACATTTAAAACCAAGAGATTTCAAATAGAAATACATATTACTGGCTTCCTTCAAATAACTGGGGTGATTGGAACACAAGGCCCCCATCCCACATGACAGCCATGGTTCACCACTGAGATGCCCCCTCGGGTGGCTCTGCCTCCTGGATGTTCAGAATGCAACTCTATACTGACTGTTGTTGGACTATACACTCCGCATGGTCTAGAAGGTAGGTGAAAACAGAACCTCTTAAAGAGCTTAAAGAATTAAACTAAACCTCAACAGATGCTAGCACCACAAAAGTGCTGTAGCCCAGCTCACCGAGCCCTTCTGTCCCCAGTGCAGAACTGCCCAGATGCGTCCACCAGCACGCTGCAGGCCTGCTCAGACACACCCAGCCTTCTCCACCGGCACAGGAGCCCTCAAACACTGCTGCTTGCCTTGCATGTTTAAAAGTATACAGCAAGCTTTCACGATAAAGTAGATGCCTTGCATGTTTAAAAGTATACAGCAAGCTTTCACGATAAAGTAGATGTTCCATTTATCAGGTGCAATTAGAGTTTAAATGTGGTGAGATCTTATAAGAATGATTATGTAGGTTTATGGAAAGTTATCTACGCCACAAAATACAGATTCCAGTTCAGAATGCATAATGATTCTGTCGACGTTCAGTTGAGTGTCTAGGCTACATGTGTATATAGGCACAGAAGGATGAGTAGAAGTGTGGTCACCAGATATATTAACAGTTAATTCTCCTGTGTGGTGGCATTTGAGAAAATCTGTAACTTTTGAAATACTTTTCTGCGTAAACTCAATAGTTTATGATAACCATGTGTTTATAATCAGGAAAAAATGTTTTTATTAGAGGGTATCAGACAATTGGTTATTGCTCTGTTTCAAAATCCATATATTATTTTGGATGTGTGTGTATATATGTACATGTGTATGTATATGTATGTATGTAAATGAATTTTTATACATACACGTATAAATGTTTGTACTATTTTTATACATACATGTGAACATATATACATATTTTTATATACATGTATGTAAAAAAACATGCATATATATAACATGTGTTTTAGATTCTGATTTAAGAGTAGTCCTGGATCACAGAATCCAAGGCACCTGCCATCTCTAGTCCAAGAGGGCTCCTTGTAGGACTCAAGAAAGGCATCTTTTACTCCTCACCACAGGGATCCCACGCATTTTAAGTCAGTGGTTTTCAGCCCTGGACACACATGAGAATCACCTAGGGAATGTTACAAAATATTGATGCCCAGACTAAAATATTGATGTTGAGAACAACAGGGCCTCTAGGGGTAGGACTCAAGCATCAGTGTTTTTTAAACCCCTGATCCCAATGAGCAGCCGAGGTTGGGAAGCACTAATA